AAAGAGTTTGAGCCGTGGCCAAGCTGTGCTGAGGGAGGAGGGAGAGGCTTTTGTGTGGCCACAGAGATGAAAACACACCCGGCCTGGTGGGCAGGGAGAGGGAACATCCCAGCCCGTCCCAGTCCATCCCAGCCCGTCCCAGCTCATCCCAGTCTGTCCCAGCTCATCCCAGTCTGTCCCAGCCCGTCCCAGTCTGTCCCAGCCCGTCCCAGTCCATCCCAGCTCATCCCAGTCTGTCCCAGCCCATCCCAGCCTATCCCAGCTCATCCCAGTGTGTCCCAGCTCATCCCAGTCTGTCCCAGTCCATCCCAGCCCATCCCAGTCCATCCCAGCCCATCCCAGTCCATACCAGCCCGTCCCAGTCCATCCCAGCTCATCCCAGCCTGTCCCAGTCCATCCCAGCCCGTCCCAGTCCATCCCAGCCCATCCCAGTCCATCCCAGTCCATCCTGGAGGGATCTGGGAGCTGCTCGGGGGTGCTGAGGTGAAAAGGAGCTTTGGGCCCCCCCAGGTTGGTGCTGTCCCCTCCATGCAGAGCCACCCTCGGGTTCACTGCTGGCTCAACCAACCCAGAATTAACTATTTTTGAGTCAATTTTAATAAAAATCCCTGAAAGAACAGCTCTAAAAACGCTTTCACCTTCCCACGGCCACATCCCATTCCTTCCTGAGCACAGAAGGCCCAGAGCAGTTTGGGGGGGCCGGTGCTGCACCCCAGGAGCCTCCGCCTGGATCCAGCCTCGTCCTTCCCTCCCTCCCGCCGGGAATTCCGTCCTGGAGCTGCTCTGCAGGAGGAGCTCGTTAAATGTCAGATTAATTAACGGGGACACAGGGAGGCGGCTCAGGAGCTCCCGGTTCCTGCTCCAGCTCTGCTGCCCCGAGCCCAGCCGGGAAAACTGCCGGGCCCCCCCGGGAATGGCACAAAACACGGGTGGGGAACGGGAGGGGAACAAAACACGGGTGGGAAACTGGGATTGGAACAAATCACAGGTGGGAAACTGGGAACGGCACAAAATACGGGTGGGAAACCGAGATTGGAGCAAAACATGGGCGGAAATGCTGGGAAAGATACAGAATATGAGTGGGAAAGCTGGGAATGGTACAAAACAAGGGGGAGAAGCTGGGAATGGCACAAACACGGGTGGAAAACTGGGGCTGGCATAAAAGCCAGGTGGAAAAGCTGTGGGAATAGCAGAAATCATGAGTGGAAAAGCTGGGAACGGCACAGGAGAAGGGGGAGAAGCTGGGAACGGCGCGGGGCACGGAAAGGCTCCGCTCCTCCCTCACAGCCGGGCGGTGGCTCCGGGGCCAGGCAGGGCCCAGCAGGGCCCAGGTGACACCGAGCAGGGCCCAGGTGACACCGAGCAGGGCCAGAAATCCTCCCCCGGCAGCTCCCGAGCCGCGGGAGCCCGGGGCTGGCTGGGGAGGATGAGGAGGGAAGGGGGGATGATGCAGGGAGCAATCCCCGCACCTTTGCAGGGGTTTGTCCCTCCAAATCCCCGCTCCCCATCTCCTGAGCACCGGGGCTCAGCCTCCCGGGGCCGAACGGCGGCAAAGCCGACCCGAGCCGGGCAGAGGCGAGGGCAGGACCGGCCCCAGCCCCTGAGAGCCGGAGGGACCGGGACCGGGACAGGGCCAGACCCGCCGGGCTGGGTTACAGCCGCCCAGGGCTCGGGAGGGAGGATGCCCGGCCCCCAGGGCCCCGCCGGCCCGGCAGGGTTTGTACCCGGCTCACGTTCCCGGCCCGGCATTCCCCAGCCCCCGCTGCCGTCTCCCGGGGCTGCCGCACATCTCCCGAGGGAACGGAGCCCGGGGACACCGGGCGCTTCACGGCCGGGCTAGGAGGTGACAGTGGTCAGGGGACCCTGCACCCCTTGGGGACCCATTCCTTTATTTATTGATTTATTTTTTTTTTTCCTCAGTTTCTCCATGAAAGAGGAAGGAGCTGGGGTTGAGCAGGGCTGGGCTGTCCCTACAAACGGAGCTGGGCTGGACCCCGTGTGACTCCAACTCACACCAGGGAGCTCCAACCCACCCCTGGGGGCCGGGCTGAGCCCTGCAAACCCATTACCCCAAACCCAGAGCACCCCCAAACCCCACAGCACCCCTAAAGCTCAGCAGAGACCCTCCCTCAGTGCCTGGGGCCAGGCTGGAAACCAGGGAGACCCCAAAACACTGGAAATCACCACGGGAGTGAGGGTGTCCTGTGAACCCCCAGCCCTGGTGGGACCCGGAGCTGTGGGGAGGCTGAAGCCCCCAGATCCCTGTGGGGAAGGGGGTGCTTCACCCCAAAGCCCCGCAGGGCCTCTCTGGGTGCTGTGTCCCTCATTATCCCTCTGGACTGAGCCAAGGAGGATCTGGGGTATGCCAGGGGGCAAGGGGATCCCTTCCACAGAGAAACAACCCAGGAGTAAATCCAGAGCATCCCCTGCTCTGCTGCACAGGGAGCCAGGCCCCGGCCGGCCCCAGAGCCACCCCAGCAATGCTCCAGGCACCGGGGAAAGGTTCGGGCCAATCAGCGCTCTCGGTAATTAACGTAATGAGCTGATCCCTAAGCTGGGCCGGGCACAGCAAAGCAGCCTGATCGCCACCGTGGGGACCCCAGAGCCGAGGGTGGCACCCAGGGCTGGCTGCACCCACGCCCTGCACGGAGGGGAGCCCCTCCCGGGAATCCGGGGTGTCCACAGGGGCTGAGCCCGGCCCTGCCCCGGGAAGGGCTGATCGGGTCCCCCTCGTCCTCTCTGCGTGCTCCATATCCAGCTCCAAAGGGGACCAGGGATGAGCCCGTGAGCCTCGGGAAATCACAGCCAAACCCAAAGCTGTCGGCGGCACGGCTGGGAAAACCCCTCTGCCAGAGATGGGGCTCGCCAGGAGAAGCAGCCCCTGTCCCCCACCTGGCACATAAAGGGTTACAGGGACTGGTCCCAAGGGGATCCATCCCAGCTTGGGCCGGGTTAGGGTTAGGGTTAGGGTGAGAGGGGTCACGGGCTGCAGGAGATCAAAGGGAGGCATCGAGTCCCGGGAGGTGTCACAGCCCGGCCCTGTCCCCGTCCCCGTCCCTGTCCCCATCCCCTGCGCTCGTCCCGGCTCCTCAGAGCTCCCGAATCGCTCCCGGGAAAGGTTCCCTGGCAGGGCCCAGGAGCCGCCACTGGGGGAACAGGAATCCCCAAATCCATCCCCATCCCATCCTCGCGGCTGTGCCAGAGCCGTGCCAAGGCACCGCTTCCCTCCCGGGGGAGGAGCTGAGTCTGTCCGAGGAGAACGAAACGCTGAGGGGAAGAGAGGGGCAGAGGAGAGGCCTGGACCCATCCAGGTGGAAGCAGCAGCTCCTCCAGCCCTTGGGAACATCCCACATCCCATCACCTCCAGCCGGGCACCGAACTGCCCCACAGCCCCTCCTGAGCGGCCACATCCCCCGGGAACGCCAGCAGTAACCAGCAGCTTCAATTCCCAAAAAGCCAAGGGGAAAAGCTCGTGTGGGGGGATGAGCACCCCCAGAGCCGCCCCCACACTGCCAGGGGTGCCGGGGACACCGGCCCAGCCACACTCACCGCTCAGCACCGCGGCCACCGGCACGGAGGGAGCGCCCAGCGGGGCAGAGCCGTCCCTGGATCCGTGGCAGGGGGAAAATCGGGCTGGGCAAAGTGCCCTTGGATCCAGCGGCCGTGCAAATTCGCCAGAGGCGCTGGAGGAGTGTCGCACGTCCCCTCAGAGACGCTGAAGTTGTGTCTCTGCTCCAGAGGGGCCGAAGCGCTGCCGGCAGGGCCGGGAGAACGCCCCTGGTGCAGAAATGGGGGAGCCAGCCCGGAGCACCCCCAAACCGGAGCCCCGGGAGGAGGGGGATGAGCTCCGGCTGATTCCATGCAGCAGCCAGGCCCTGGGGCTTCTTCTCCTCTTCAAGAGAGGAGGAGGATGAGCAGCCTTCCTCCCCACCAGCCTCTCCCGTTGCTCGCGGGCTGGGAGGGAAAAGCATCCTCGGGCTCCTTCCCGGAGAGCATCCCCCAAAAAGCAGCGCCCCGATCCCCAACACTCCAACGCCCGGCTCGGGGCAGGGAGCAGGCGGGGCAGGGGGTTCCCCTGGAGCCCAGGATCCCTCGGATCCACGGATCCTGGGGGGAGCAGCAGCTTTGGAAGTGCCAGGAGCCCCCCGGCCCCTTCTCCTCCGGCCCCATGGAAGGGGAAGCGCGGGCGCTGCCTCTGCCGCCCCCCGCCCCATCGGGGCTGGGGATGCAGGAGGGGAGGGGAGGGTCGGGGGGACAAGTTCCTGCTGCCCCCGAGCAGCGGCAGGGGGGTTCCTCCCTCTCCGCCCCTCAGGGTGGGTTTTAAGGCGTGTTTCCCTACGACCTTCAAACGGCGGCTGCCCGCAGCCCCCTCCCCACGGCCGCCACCCTGGCGGCACCGCCCGGGGGTCGCAGGGGAGGGGACGGCCCCGGGGGCAGCGCTGGGCTCGGGGGGCTCTGCGGGCACCGCGGGGCTGCCGCGGGGCAGGGGCGGGGAACGGAGCCCCCCGGAAGCCGGGGGACCCCTCAGCGGGTGCGGGTCCCGGTGCCCGGGGGTGCCGCCCCCCGCCCGCTGCCGCTGCCAGACCCCGCTCGGGGCCGGTCCCTCCCCGGTACAGCCGCCGGCCCCACGCCCCCCGCCCGCTGCCGATCCGCGCACGGTACCGGGGCCGGTTCCGGAGCGGTGCCGCCGCCCGGGGCCGATCCGCGCACGGTACCGGGGCCGGTTCCGGAGCGCTGCCGCCGCCCGGGGCCGGCCCCTGCACGGTACCGGCGGCACCGCGCACAGCCCCGTCCCCCGCGGTACCGATCCACGCGCGATCCCGGGGCCGGTCCCACCCCGCTGCCCACGGCGGCTCATCCGCGGGGCCGGAGCCGCCCGGAGCCGCTCCCCGGTGCCGGTGCCGCTCCCCGGTGCCGGTGCCGCTCCCCGCCGCCCCCTCCCGGTGCCGGTGCCGGTCCCTCCCCTCCTCCCCCGCTCGGTGCCGGTGCCCCGCACTCACCAGCGCGGCGCGGGCGCTGAGCAGCAGCAGCAGCAGCAGCGGGAGGCTCCGCAGCCCCCGGGGCGCCGGCGGCGGCACCTCCCCGGGCATCTTCCTGCCGCAAGGACGCTGCCGGCGGCGGCGGGAGGCGGCGGGAGGCGGCGGCGGGGGCGGGGAAGGGCCTTTGTTGCCGCCGCCCGCGGGAGGCGGGCGGTGGGTGCGGGCGATGGGTGCGGGGCCGCCGCCGCCGCCGCCGCCCCGCCCCGGCCCGGCCCCGCACGGCCCCGCACGGCCCCGCACGGCCCGGGGACAGCGGGAGGGAACGGGGGAGGAGCCCGGGGGGCACCGAGGGGCGCTGGGGGAGATTGAGGGGTCCTGGAGTGGATGGGGGAAGTTTGGGGGAGACTTGGGACAGATGGGGGGACCTGGGGGAGATGGGAGAGAGCCGGACGTATGCGGGGGGAGGGTCTGGGGCAGACTGGGGGACCCGGGGGTAGGTGGGGGGACCTTGGGGGACAGATGGAAAGGGGGTCTGGGAAAATGGAGAGGACCCTGGGGTGGGTGGGAGGAGCGTGGGGGACACGCGGGGACACGTGGGGACAGGCTGGGGGAGCCGGGGATGGATGAGGGGTGACGTGGGGTGGGTGAGGGGGACCACGGGGACATTTGGGAGGGGTCTGGGGCAGACTGGGGGACCTTGGGGTTGGTGAGGGAGAACTGGGGGGTGTAAGGGGGAGTTGGGGGAGATGAGGTGGGCCGTGGGTTAAATGGGGGGAGCCGGATGGGAATGCACAGGGGGGGACCTGAGGCAGACTCGGGGGCGATCAGGGACAGATGGGGAGGGACTGGGGCAGGTGGAAGGGGCTGCGGTAGGTGCGGTGCACTGGAATGGGTAAAGGAGTGAACTGGGGCAAGCTGGGGTCAGCCCGGGCTGTGTGTGGGGGGATCTGGGGCAGACTGGGGAGATCCAGGGGGAGATTGGAGGGTCTGGGGGCAGTTGGGAGCACCCTGGATTAGCTGGGTGGTGTTTGGGACGCCTGGGGGGTACCCAGGGATGGATGGGAGGGGGAAACCTTCGAGCATTGCGGGAACCACTCCCGGGCCGACATCTGACCCAGCCTCAGTTTCCCCGCTCAAAAATAGACTCAGACTCTCCTAAACCCCCTCATTTACCTTCCAATACAGCCCGGGAGGGGCTCGGGGGGCAGGGGGGGTTACCGGGACAAAGGAGGGAAAAACAGCCAAATTCAGCCTAAAATGGAGCTGAACCTCGGGCTGGGGAGCACGGACACAGGTCCCCAAAAATCCCCCCCTGAGGATCCTCCCACTGCCCCGGGACTGGGAGCTCAGGGAAACCCAGAGGGGAGTGGGAAACATCGGGGGGGCTCTGAGGGCCCCCACCTGAGTGACTCCATTGGGTGTTAATTGTCCTGTAATTAGCAGAATCCAAATTATTTCTTTTAAAGTGCATTTATAGAAGAAGTGGGAATGGGGGGGGGGGGGGGGGCAAAACCTGGGGAAGGTGGGGAGGGGTCCCAGGGCAGGGGGTGCAAAGGGGTCCCGGGGGCATCCCAGGGACACGGGGGGGGGGGTCCCGGGGGGGTCCCGGAATAGTGGGGTGGCCCCAGAGCAGGGGGTCCCAGAGAGGGGGTCCGGGGGCATCCCTGGGGCCATGGGGGGTCCGGGGACACGGGTGGGGACAGTGCCCGGGCTGGGCTGGGGAGTCCCAGGGACACTGGGGGGGCGCAGGGACAGTGGGGGGGGGGCCCAGGGACACCCGGGCCGGGGGTGTCACAAAGCAGTGGGGTCCGGGGACACAGCTGGGACCCCTGATCGTGGAGCAGGGGGGCACCGGTGCTGGGGAGGTGCCAGGGACGGGGGTACCGGTGCCGGGGGTGTCCCCGGGCAGAGCTGCTGTCCCCGGGCAGGGGGTCCTGGTGGCGGCTGTACCCGGGCAGGGCTCTGTCCCCGGGCAGGGCTCTGTCCCCACTCGGGGCTCTGTCCCCGGGCAGGGCTCTGTCCCCGGGCAGGGCTCTATCCCCACGCGGGGCTCTGTCCCCGGGCAGGGCTCTGTCCCCACGCAGGGCTCTGTCCCCACGCGGGGCTCTGTCCCCACGCGGGGCTCTGTCCCCACGCGGGGCTCTATCCCCACTCGGGGCTCTGTCCCCACGCAGGGCTCTGTCCCCACTCGGGGCTCTGTCCCCGGTGCCGGTCCGGGCCCGTCGCTGGGGTTGCAGCGCCCCGCCGTGGCCGCCGCCGCCCCTGCAGGCCCGGGCCAGGCTCAGTGTCCCCGCGTGTCCCCAGCGCGGGTGGCAGCCCCGGGGTGCCCCCAAAGGGTGGGGGGGTCTGTCGGGCCCCACAGAAGGAGCTGGGGGCGGGCGGAGGGCGCTGCCAGCGGGGCTTTGTCCCCCTGCGGCAGCTCCGGTCCCCGCGTGTCCCCTCGGCAGCGGGACGGGGCACGGGGTGGCACAGGGGACCCCGGCTGGGGTGGCAGGTCCCGGCTGAGGTGACATCTCCCTTCGCGTCCCTTCTCCAGCCGGCACCAGCCGTGCCCACGAAGGACCGAGGCACGGCCAGACGGAGCCCCCGTGTCCTTCCCGGGCCGTGTCCCCTCTGTCACCAGCGGGGCCGGGGCGATGGGTGAGAGCCGATCCCATTCCCGAGCACCCCGGGGTGGGAAGGGTGCCAGGGCTGAGCCGGGACCCGCAGGAGTCCGGGGGAACAAACAGAGGCTGGGCACGCTCCCCTTCCTCTCCGGCCTGAACGGAACGCTCAGCGCGGAATTAAACATTAAAAATTCCCTTTCTCTTCCTTGTTTCACCATGTTTGTCCCCGACCTGCAGCTGAGCTCCACAGACACCCCCAGGTAAAGGAGGCACTGAAGGGCTCAGAGCCACCCAACGAGCTCTGAAACCCCAAAGTTCCAGCGCCCTGCCCCTGGGGGCTCAGCGCGGTGCTGGGCCACGGGGTGGCCTCAAATGCTGGGGAGAAACGAGTCAAAACCCAAATCTGCGGAAATTAACACCAGTCAGGGAAATTCTGCTGAAATTCACCAGTCAGTGAAAAATCAGTCCCAGTGTGGGAACAGATTCATCTGTGTGGGATCAGATCAATCCCAGTACAGGGTCCCACATCAATCCCAGATCAATCCCAGAGTGGGGTCCCAGGGGTGCTGGCCCTGCTGAGGGGTGGGAATGGGGTGTGGGAAGAGTCCGAGCTTCAAACCCCATGCTTTCCACGTGCTAAACCAAAACAATATTCTGTAAAATGGGCATTTTCGTGCCCTCCATCACTTGGCCACAGGTGACCCTGCCTCCACAAGTTCCCAGATTCATCAGCATTCCCCAAATGTCCCTCTGGAAAAGGGATTTTAAATGCAGCAAAGTGCAACGAAGGGATAGCGAAGGTCCCAGATGCTGCAAATGGGGGAAACTGGTGGGAAGGAGAGGCTGATTTTGGGGTTCTGTTAACACAGGGAAACAAATTGAGAGCTGGAGCTTCCCTAAATAGGGAATTGGGGGAATAAGGGAGAGCAGGACGCCATGGGGGCAGCAGGGGTTAGAACCATCAGCTCTGTGGGGCAGCCTGGAGAAGCACCAGGAAATGAATTCCTCCTGCCCAGTATCCCACCCAGCCCTGCCAATGGCACTGGGAGCCATTCCCTGTGTCCTGTCCCTCCATCCTTGTCCCCAGTCCCTCTGCAGCTCTCCTGGAGCCCCTTCAGGCCCTGCAGGGGCTCTGAGCTCTCCCTGGAGCTTCTCCTCTCCAGGGGAGCACCCCCAGCTCTCCAGCCTGGCTCCAGAGGGGCTCCAGCCCTGCAGCAGCTCCGTGGGTTCCTCTGGACTTCTTCCAGCAGCTCCAAATCCTTGATTTCGGGGGCTCCAGGGCTGGGGCAGCTCTGCAGGTGGGGTCTCGGGAGAATCTCCCATCCCTGTGCCCTGGGGAGCCTGTTCAGGATGGGCTCCCCATCCTCCACGTTAAAATCATCTCTGGATGCTTCTCATCCCCAAAAAAACCGCTCAGCTCCCTCCCTCAGCACATCAGACTCACAAGGACAGAAATAAAGTCTTTGAAAATGCCCCTTCCCTGCTCTCCAGCACAGCTCCAGCCCTTCCCTGTGTCCTGCTCCCACACTGAAGCTCCAAATTCCAATTCAACATTCCATGAAAATCACAGCCCCAGCTCTCCCCGTGTCCTGCCCCTGGGCTGAGGCTCCAATTCCATGAAAATCACAGCCCCAGTCCTTCCCTGTGTCCTGCTCCTGCTCCCAGATTGAAGCTCCAAACTCTCCAACAAAATATTCCATAAAAAATAAAAAACAGAGCCCCAGCTCCTCCCTGTGTCCTGCTCCTGCCCTTGGAGTGAAGCTCCAAACTCCAACAAAACATCCCATGAAAAGCAGAGCCCAGCTCTTCCCTGTGTCCTGCTCCTGCCCCTGCAGTACATCCCCAAATTCCGAGTGACCTCTCCATGAAAAGCAGAGCTCAGCTCCTCCCCAGGATTGAGGCTCCAACTCCAACAAACGAAACCCGGGGCCAGATTCCAAAGTTCTGTATTTTTCAAAATAAAGATCACACGTTGTTTAGAGACAATCTACACAAGAGTTACAAAAAATAGTCGCCCAGGCAGAAGCATACACAGGTTTGTTAATTATACACATATGGTTACAAGTGTGCTTGCAAAAAAGTTCATTGGAAATATACACAAGGCTCTGTAAATGTACACCGTGTAGTGTTACAATTCTATATTCAAACGAGGAAAATTGACAGTATGTTACATTCACTTACAAGTAGACAAAATGCAAAATACAGTTCATCTTCTGTACAAAAAAGGGGGAGGTGATTCACACTTTACAAGGTGAAAAGGGGCTCTGATTGTAAGGAAAACTAGGAAGGGGCTGTACTTTTGCACTTTTTGTTTCTTACTGTCACAAAAGAAGCAAAACATTACTTTGTAAGATTCAAAAAAACACTATTTGGAACTGAATCAGGTCTGTAGAACATTTAGAAAGGATCTCTACCGTCCGACTAGGTGACAAATAAAACCAAGCAGTTTCTTTTTCTTCCTTTTTTGTTTTTAAACATTAACTAGGCTGTATAAAGAGAACATTTCCTTCAAAAGAAAAAAATTTACTTCTGGTTGAAATTACAATTTACAATATACAACACTATATGCTACGACCATAAAAGGTGTGAATATACACTGAAATGCACAGGTTTTGCTAAATTCTTTTTTTTTTCCT